GCGGGGAGCCCCGCCTCCCGGGAAGGAGGTCGATGGGCGGAGCCGGGGGCGGGGCCGCCTTCTGACGGGCAGGCGCTCCTCTTTGTCTCCCCTGCGTCCCTGGTTAATAAGAGCAAGGCTGCACCTCTTTACTTGAGAGTAGACCCGAGGGAAGCCAGCGGGGCTTGCTTCCGAGCAGGGGGCCCCTGGTCAGGGTTGCAGAGTCCCTCCTTCCTTTCGAGGAGAAAACCTAAGCTTTATACAGTATAGGGAATTGATAAACACTGTGTGCAAATAAACCAAGCAAAGAGACAGGCGTTACTTACAAGCGTGTAAAAAGGAAGCAGAACAAGTTACTTTCGCGTCCCTGGTTAATAAGAGCAAGGCTGCGCCTCTTTACTTGAGAGTAAACCCAAGGGAAGTCAGCGGGGCTTGCTTCCGAGCAGGGGGCCTGGTCAGGGTTGCAGAGTCCCTCCTTCCTTTCGAGGAGAAAACCTAAGCTTTATACAGTATAGGGAGTTGATAAATACTGTGTGCAAATCAACCAAAGAGAGAGGCGTTGCTTACAAGTGTGTAAAAAGGAAGCAGAACAAGTTACTTTTATGGATTACAAAATTCCCACAGTTTCCAGCTGGGATGAGGGATGCTGGAACTGAGTTTTCCAAATACATTCTCAAGCTCTGCAAATACATATTCCATGGATGCACTAAAAATAAAAACAAATAATAACAAGGAAAATGTCCTTCTAATTTTCTATCTATCTATCTATCTATCTATCTATCTATCTATCTATCTATCTATCTATCTATCTATCTATCTATCGTTAATAAAGAAAATGTACTTCTAATTTTGTCTATCTATCTAGCTACCTATTATGGATTTTTACAGATGGGTTCTGTATGCTACACCTGGTTTTGTTTTGGCTTTACTAGGGGTTTGTAAACATTGACTCAATTACAACAGATGGGTTCTGTATGTTACACCTGGTTTTGTTTTGGCTTTAGGGGTTTGTAAACATTGACTCAATTACAGTAATTTATTAGGGATGAGCAGGGTGCAGTTTAAAAACAGCTTGAATGCTGCAGATTGTTGTGGAAGGATGGAGAATTAAAGTAATACTATGTTTTCAATATACGTTTCCAAATGCTGTACAATATAATGTTGACGTTATCACCTTATTGACGGTGAGAAAATTTTTGACAGGGACCAAAAGAGAAAGTTGGTGAAGTGATTGATAAACGACTTGATTCAATACCATTTGTATAATTGAAGTCTCAACTAGAGTAGGCCCATTTGAGTTAGTGGAACTAGTGTGGGAGTTGTCTCACCAAATAGCAATTGATTCCATGGGCTTACTCTAGTGCAGACCTGAGCAAAGTGCGGCCTGAGGGCCACATACAGCCCGCGAGCCGCTCCTATCTGGCCCGCGGACAGTGTTGAACATCAAAACCATTTATAGCTTTTTGTTGATCAGTCGCTTATCTTTAACATACCACAAAAAACTCTTTAGTATTTGTGAAGATTAACAAGTTTAAAAATAAAAACAATCATAACATCACTGTTTCATTTTATTTTTAAATAAAGTTGGTTCGGCCCCCGAACACAGTTCAGATTTTTCATGTGCCCCCCCCCATAGAAATTAATTGCCCTAGTGCGATTTTTTATGACTGCAAGGAGAGTTTTGGTTAGCGAATGACAACTACGGTACTTCACAACAAGCTATTTCAGAAAAGCCCAGAAGATGTCAGCCTTGTAGTTTAGCAAAGCTGCCAGTTAAGAATCCATGGTACTCAAGAATTTTTAAAAAAAGGATGTGTGGTTCAGGATCACACAAATGCAAAGGTTAGGTGATACTTCTGTTGAACCACTTTTAAAAAATATCACACAAATGGCAAGTAAAATCCCATTTCCTTAGGCTCCGTGTCACCCTTTTGTGGATAGTGCAGAAAAAAATGTCTGAAAACTTCATGGCAGATGTCGCTGCCAAGTCAGCTGTTATGAATGAAGTGAAACCAGACTCAATTTGCAAAATTCAGCTGGAGAGCGTGGTCTCAAGCATCCTCCCTTCTAAGCATGGTCGAAATTTTCCATCCCAAACTCCGAACAAAGGATTTGCTAATGACTCTTTAATTTGGTTGGTACTCCATGCCAACCGAATTATTTGGGCACCTGAGGGAGAAATTTTACTAGCCCCCACCCCCTTCTTGGCAGTAAAACTGTAATGGTAATAAATCAAGTAGTAATAAACCAATTAGCTGCCCTTTTATGACATCTTAATTGGGATGCCTAATAGTAAGGCATCTGGAGGAGACTCTTGAGAGTCTCCAGGACTGCAAGGAGAACAAATCTATCCGTTCTGAAGGAAATCAACCCTGAGTGCTCAACTGGAAGGACAGATCCTGAAGCTGAGGCTCCAGGACTTTGGCCATCTCATGAGAAGAGAAGACTCCCTGGAAAAGACCCTGATGTTGGGAAAGTGTGAAGGCAAGAGGAGAAGGGGACGACAGAGGACGAGATGGGTGGACAGTTTCATTGAAGCGACCAACATGAATCTGTCCCAACTTCGAGAGGCAGATCTGTCCCAACTTCGAGAGGCAGTGGAAGACAGGAGGGCCTGGTGTGCTCTGGTCCATGGGGTCACGAAGAGTCGGACACGACTTAACGACTAAACAACAACAACAACAGTAAGGCTGATCCCACAGTACAACCTGCTGATTATTTTTTCTGGAGTACTGGCTCCGCATGCTACTGGCTATGCCATGCTGTCCCTTCATCACTGAGCCAATCATCCACCAATGATAAGGAGAAACAGCACCTGTACCCCCCCTTTTAAAAAAATTCTCACTGGCCCTAAAGACAGAGGGTGTTATGTCTTTTGGACCCCAGTACCAGACTTCCAGAGAACATCTAGTTGTTTCCTCTCCCAAGACAACATGAGGACAGGTCTTCTAGCTGATATCT